TGGGTGTGTTCTCCTGCCAGTCCGGGGTCAGGGCCCAGCAGCCTGCGCTCAGTCAGCCCATCCACTCAGTGGCTGACTAGTCTCTGAGTCACAGTTTTTTTTCTTTTTTGGTCAGTCATGGGACTTGAACTCAGGGCCTGAGCTCTTTTGCTCAAGACTAGTGCTCTAGCACTTGGAGTCACAGCTCTCCTCCTGGTTTTTGAGTGGTTCATTGGAGGTTAGAATCTCTTGAGGACTTTTCTGTCCCAGGCTGGTTTCAAGCCTCGATTCTTAGACCTCAGCCTCCTCTGAGTAGCTAGGATTCCAGGCGTGAGCCACCAGCGTGTGGCTTAAGTCGCAGTTCTGGCCGCAGGGAATGTAGCCAAATGTGTCTGAGACTCTTTCCCTCTTCAGCAATTGTCTCCCTCAGTGGGTTGGCTTGTGTAGCTTCAAATCCTACCCATGTCCCTAAGTTCATTCTGTGTACTTCCAGACTTCTAATAGGGGACATTCAGTTGAACCCCACCTGGTATGCAGAAGGGGAGACTGAGGCCTGGAGACTGTAGGCTTTGTTGAGATACAGTATTTCTAGAAGGTGTGGGATAAACACCCTTAGAAAGAAGGAAAGGCTGGGTGCTGGTGGCTCACACCTGTCATCCTGGCTGATGAGACCTGATGATCATGGTTGGAGGCCAGCCCGGGCAGGAAAGTCTGTGAGACTCTTATCTCCAGCAAGACACCAGAAAACTGGAAGTGGCGCTGTGGCTCAGAGTGGTTGAGCGCTAGCCTTGAGCTGAAGAGCTGAGGGACAGCGCCCAAGCCCCACGACTGACAATAAATAAATGAATAAACAAAAAAGAAAGGAGGAAGGAAGGAAGGTATGCTGAGAAGTTCCCTGTGCCAGAGCCCAGTCACCCACTGACTTCCTGACCCACCCCGGCCATGTAGCCACTGTCTCCCCAACACAGAGGGACCCATCCCATAATGAGGACTCATGTCCATCAGCCATGGAAGGCCTGGAATGGGAGCCTAGTGTCCTGCTCCCCCAGAGACCACCACCTTCCCAAAGGATGTAAGGCAGCAGGGTGGGGCGGGGTGAGGGAATGAACGGAATCATTTCTTCCCCTGGCCTGTTTCGCCCTCCTCCTCCTCTCTCCTGCATGCCTGCGAGCACGCTGCCACACTGCGGGCTATAAATCTGAGGGGAACAGCAAACCTGTCAACGCGATCAACGAACTTGTCGCTGTGCCAAGGGCAGATGTCACCACGGTGCAGATTCTCAGCGCCCCTCCCTCGCCCACCTGAGTGCTCTGTTGCTTTTTGGGGAGAGGTGAGCCCGGTGTCGCCCTTCCATTGATCCGATTTCTACCCTTCACCCCCTGCCCCTCCCCTGGCCCTCTCCATGGGTCACCTCCCCTGGTCAGTGTGGACTGGGGACATGGGTCCTCTCTCTCAAAGCGAATGTGTCTCAACAGATGCTTTCTTGGGGGACAGTTATTTATGGCTGCGTGAGTAGGTGCTCACTCTCTTTCCTCTTCTGTCACGTCTTGAAAATTGAGCTCTTCTCCGCCCCAGTGGGAAGAAGGGACAGACTTATGATTTAACCCTCTCTCCTGTTTTTCCCTTTCCTTTTCTCTTCCTTCTTTCTCTCTCCCCCTCCTCTTCTTTCTCCTCCTCTTCCTCTCTTCCTCTTTCTCAATTTATCCTTCTCTTCCTGCCTCTCTCCTTTTCTCTTTTTCTCCTTTTTTTTTTTTCCGGTGCCGGTCTTGGGGCTTGAACTCAGGGCTTGGCCACTGTCCCTGAACCTCCTTTGCTCAAGGCTACTGCTCTACCACTTGAACCTCCACACCACTTCTGTTTTTTTAGGAGTAGTTTATTGGAGAAAAGAGTCTCACAGACTTTCCTTGCCTGGGCTGGCTTTGAACAGTGATCTTCAGATCTCAGCCTCCTGAGTAGCTGGGATGACAGGCGTGAGCCACCAGCGTCCAGCTTCCTTTCTCCTTATTTTCCTCCTTCTTTATCTGTTTCTCTCCTCCTCTTTCCTCCTCTCCTTTCCTCTGGCTAGTCATTGCTGTCGACTTATCGTTACTCTCCTCCTCCTCCTCCTCCCCCTTCTCCTCTTCCTCCTCCTCCTCCTCCTCCCCCTCCCCCCCCTCCTCCTCCTCCTCCTCCTCCTGCTGCTGCTGCTCCTCCTCCTCCTCCTGCTCCTCCTCCTCCTCCCCTTCCACTTCCTTCTCTCCCCCAATCCCAATCCCTTTGGACAGGCATTGTTCCACTCCCATATTTCCAATCCAAATGTCACCAACTCTTGTGTCCAAGGCGAATCATTTCTCTGAACCCAGGGAATCATCTGGATGGTTCTAGCTGTCCCTCTCCATTTTATGGAGGTGAGGTGAAGGAGTTTCCTGCTGTCCCCCCTGCCCCCCTGCCATGAAGGTGTGCTCCTGGGGGTCAGACAGCGCCCTCACCCCAGCCTCTTCCTCCCCACCCCCTCATCTTCTATGTGATGGCATCTCAGGCGAGGCCCTCCTCCCCAAGATGTCAGGAGAGCCCCTGGGGTCCTCTCTACCTTACTTCATCTCCTTGCCTCCACACATAGCCTACCCTACCACCAAGCCCATCCTCCACCTCTCCCACAGCTCAGCTCCCTCCCCAACCCCACAGCCGCCATCCCTCATATGTCTGAATGTGGCCACAGTGCCAGGCACTGGGCTGGTGTGAGACCAGTTCCCTCTTGTGAATGTGACTACAACAACGGTCTTACTAGCTCAACGTTTCCCCACCCCCCCCTCCACACACATACCACCCATTCTCTCCCCCACCGGAAGGGATGGGGCAGGGCAGCATGTGCCTGCGGATTCTGTTGCTAAGGAAACCACTTCCTTGGTTACCAGCCTGGGTACCATTTGTCGCACTATGTCTGGATCCCGCCGAGTCGCCCCCGCTCTCCAGGATGAGAAGAAAGGAGGGGACAATGGGAGAGGAAGGGAGGAAGGGACCCCGAGAGTGCAGGGATGACACTAGACTAGCACAAACTCACACAGCAATCAGAAAAGAGGTGATGGAGTGTGAGTGGCCGGAAGGGGAAGAGGAAGGGCAAGAAGGTGCCATGGTGGTGGTGGGGAGGAAGGGCAGCAGCAGAGAGAGAGAGACCGGGCTGGGCCTTGCAGGGGCGGGGGGGGGGGGACAGGGGAGGAGAGGGATAGATCCATGCAAGCCCTGCTTTGCCTCTTTGCCCTCCTCCTTTCTTCTACCATCTGGTCTACTGGATGCCTCATGACCACCCCCAGGCTTGCTGGAGAGATCTGGAAGAAATTCCAGCAGTCAGCAGCCACTGTGAGAGTGGGGGACAGCGTGAGATCCTGTGTGTCCTGGATTCCAGGCCGGGCCAGGCATGTTCCCTGCACCGTTCCCTGCACTGGCCCCTCCACTGCATAGATAAGGACACAGCATCTTACCCCCCCCCCCCTTCTAGAAGTCTCTATTGTTGTCTGTCCCTGTCTGTCTGACTCTCACACACACAGAAAGGGACCCCCCCCACACACACATAGACAACCCCTTCCCATACTTTTGCACAAAGCCAATTCGAGCACTGAGCTCCCCTGCAGACACATCTCTTTCAGCTCCCTCCCCACCCTCCCCCATAATCCAACCCCACAGACACCCTCCCCAAGAAAACAGCCCCTCCCGCAAAGCCCCTTCACACAACACTCCATCACGTGGCCAAATTGTCAACAAAACTCGCCTTTAATGATAAGACACAGGCCCAGAGGCGTCTTCAGACAGAAGCTGTGGTTGGAGGTCACCACCTGCCAAGACCGAGCCCCAGGTCCTGGCCCAAGATTCTCCCAGAGAGAGAGGGAGAAAGAGAGACCACCTCCCAGTAGGCAGGGAGGCCATCAAAGAAGACTAGAAAGTAGCCCAGGGGTGTGGATGGGTGCAAGAAACATGGTACAAAATACATTCAGAGCCGCTGGCTGAGTCCCGGGCTGGCCCCAAACCCTGTGCAGGAGGCATTCAAGAGACTTTTCCCTCTATCCGCCCCCCCCCCCCCCCCCCCCCCCCCCCCCCCCCCGTGGCCAAGATCCAAGGGGCCGAATGTATTAGTCATATTTCTCTTAAAAAAATAAATCTCTTTTCACTCACCTTCTCGAGTCCCCTGGCTAGCCGGGCCTTCCCTGGCACCCGGAGGGAGGGCCACGCGGGGGTGGGGGCACTCCACAGGAGCGCTGGCTGTGACTATGGCTTTTGTATGTACATTGATGGGAGCCACAGGTACCCCAGGCGGGGAATTCCACGGATGGGGTCCTGAATTGATGCTTGGTTTTGTTTGGTAACAGACAATTGGTGATTCAGGTCCTCGGAAATCCTTTGGTTTGGTGTCTGGGCTTCAGGACCACGGAGGGTGGGTGGATGGTAAGGAGGAGGCCTGTCCCCCCGTTTCTCAGAGGGCTCTGGAGGGAAGAGGGCCGTGTGGGGCCGGCCCTGAGGGGCGGCCTGCGGCCTGGGAAGGTAGTGGGGGGGGGCCTGGTTCTCTCTGGTGGGGAGCCCTCGTGGTGGGGGGTGGACGATGCCCGGGGAGGGAGGGGGGGAAGGGGTCAGTCCGGAGGACAGAGCACAGAGGGGGCGCGGGATCCCACCCTGAGGAGCTGTGCTCCCCCACCTGGGGGGTTGGTCGGTGCCTGAGAGACCCTGCACGTTAGATGGGAGGACCCCCCACCGATCTCCACCAACCGCCCCAATGCCCAACTGGCTCCCTTCTCCATCCGCCACCACCACCACCAAGAAATGCACCCCGAGCCCCGCTGTCCCCTCCGCCCCCCCCCCGGCCCCGGCAGACCCCCGGGCGCACAGCCCGCCGCCGCTGTGTCCGCGCCGCGGGTGGAGGGGCGCCCGGGCCAGGCGGAGGAGCGGCCGGGCCAGGCGGAGGGGCGCCCGGGCCAGGCGGAGGGGCGCCCGGGCTTCCTGAGTGGGGCGCAGAGGGGCTCCCGGGGCGCGATCGGTGTCAGCGCCCCCTGCGCGGGGCCCCCCGCGTCCCCCCGGGCCGGGCCGTCATCTCGGGCAGTAGTCGTCCGGCACCCCGGTGAGGTTGCGGCCCCGCAGCGCGGCGTCCACCATCTTGATGTAGGCGGCGATGGTGCGGTGCATGTCGGCGGTGTAGGGGTCGAACTCGAGCTTGCGCAGCCCCGAGCGCTTGAAGTTGCCGTCCTTCTGGCTCTCCACGCACAGCAGCCGGTCCTCGCGCGCCGCCACGCCCAGCAGCCGCACCATGCGGCCCAGCTGCGCGAACAGGTCCCGCTTCAGGTCCTCGAAGTGCACCACCAGCACCCTGCGGCCGAACTTGAGCCAGTCCAGCGTGTGCGTGGCCCACCACGGCGCGTAGTTGCGCACGAACTCCGGCCACTCTGCGGGGGACACGGGGCGGGCGCGTGGGCCGGGGCCGGGCGGGGGCCCGCGCCACCGGGATCCCCCCCCAGGGCCTCCCGGCCCGGCCCGGCCCCGCCCACAGCCCCGCCCCCGGCCCACGCCCTCCACGGCCTCCCCGCCCAGCCGCCGGCCACAGCCCCGCCCACATCCCGACCCCGCCCACATCCCCGCCCCCGGCCCACGCCCTCCAGGGCCTCCCCGCCCAGCCGCCGGCCCGGCCCCGCCCACAGCCCCGCCCACAGCCCCGCCCTGCCCGCCTGCCCATAGCCCCGCCCCTGGCCCACTTCCTCTAGGGCCTCCCCGCCGGCTAGGCCCCGCCCACAGCCCCGCCCCCAGCCTCACCCCGCCCACAGCCCTGCCCCGCCCAGCAGCCGGCCCGGCCCCGCCCACAGCCCTGCCCCGCCCAGCAGCCGGCCCGGCCCCGCCCCCAGCCCCGCCCCCGCCCCCAGCTCCGCCCCCAGCTGCTCCTCTCCTCTAAGGGACAGGGAAGGTCACCTGGAGCCCACCCAGAGCCAGACCCAGCCCTGCCGACCTGCGCTCTAATAACACGTGTGCCTCTCATACGGAAGTGGGCGCCACCCCAACATGCAAATATAGGGCACCCCAATGTGGAAATATATGGCACCCCAACATACATACATGGTAGCCCAACATGGAACTAATGGTACCCAACACAGAAATGTATGGTACCCTGGCATAGATATGTATGGTACCCCAACATGGAAATACATGGTACTCCAACCTAGAAATGTATGGATCCCAGGAACCATCTATCTATATATGTATATATTACCCCAGCATTGAAATGTATGGTACCCCAACATGGAACTATATGGCACCCCAACATGGAGTTATATGGTACTCAACATAGAGATGTATGGTACTCTAATATAAAAACACATGGTACTCTAACATAGAAATATATGGTACCCCAAGCCTGGCACCGGTGGCTCACGCCTATAATCCTAGCTACTCAGGAGGCTGAGATCTGAGGATCGCAGTTCAAAGCCAGCCTGAGCAGGGAAGTCGGTGAGACTCTTATCTCCAATAAACTACCAGAAAACCAGAAGTGACACTGTAGCTCAAGTGGTAGAGCGCTTGCCTTGAGCTGAAGAGCTGAGGGACAGTGCCCAGGCCCAGAGTTCAAGCCTCACGACTGACAAAAAAAAAAAAAAAGAAATATATGGTACCCCAACAGAAATATATGGAACTATATGGTACTATATGGTACTCAACATAGAAATGTATGGTACCCTAGCATAGAAATATACCCCATCCTAACAAAGAAATATGTGGTACCCCAACCTAGAAATGTGTGCTACCCTAACAGAAAAATACATGGTACCCTAACATATACAGGCTACTCTAACTAGCTCAAAAATAAAAAATAAAAAAGGCCTGGCAGCGTAGCTCAAGTGGTAGGGCGTCTGTGCACCTGTCTGGCAAGTACCAAAGTCCTGAGTTCAAACCCCAGTACCATCAAAAACAAAGAAGTCCTAATTCTTTGTTGGGTGACGGAGGCAAATTATCTCTTTCAATCTCAACTACCCTGAAGTGAAGAGACTGCTGGTCCCTCCTCACCAGCAAGCAGACAGACAGACCAAGTGACACCCTGGAAGCCACACAGTGTCACCCCTCCCCAGCCCTCATCACCTTGCAAACAGGGGCTCTGTGAAGGGACACTGAACTGAACTGAAATTCCCAGCTGCCAGACTGAAGCACCAGCTCAGGTTCCTGTCCCTTGCTGAGACTCCTGCTCCCCCAGAGCCCCCTGGGACCCCAAAGCTGCTGGGGAAATGTTGATGCTGGTGACAAAGTTATTATTATTTTTAATTCTCAAATGGCGTTATTTACAATGGATCGGACTCAATGGGCCCACGTTCTTAGAACGGGTGGAGAGCCACAGGATCTTTCCAGAATTTCTCCCCCTCCTCTGTCACTTTGTGGCACCCCCTGGGATTCAGGACAGCTGTGTGGTCCCAGGGAAAAGCCCAAGTGACCAAGATGGTGGCCGCTCCTGACCTCTGGGAGGAAGGGGCGCTAGGTGGCGCTCGAGAGTCCGTGCGTAGGGTGGCTAGGGTCCCTGGGGTAGCTCCAGCTGCCCGGGGCCTCGGGTGCAGGCCGGGATGATTCCTCAATAGAAGGACACGACTGTTTGTCTGAGGAGCAGGCTGGTACCCCGTTGCCTGTGGGGGCATCTGCTGGGTGTTCGTGGTATGCTGAGCACTTTACGTGAAGTCTCACCCAGTGAGGAAGAATTCCCACCCGGTGTTTCTGACAGGGAGAGTGAGGTTCACAGACATAGAGTAACTTGCCTAAAGCTCACGGGGGGTGTCCAGAGTTCAAACCCACTGCCATGTCTACCGCAGACCGGGCAGGGCTCCTTGTTTCCCAATAACCCTCTAAGGGCCTCTGATCCAGACAAGTATGGTGGTGCATACTTATAATCCTGCACTTGGGAAACAGAAGTAAGGAGGACTGAGTTTAAGACAACGTGAGTTCAAGGCCAGTCCTAGCTACAAAATGAGGTCCCAAACAAACAAACACTTGGTCCAATTTCTGTGCCTCCACCCCCGCTGCCCGTTTGGTACCAGGCTTGAACTCAGGAACTAGGAAGGGCTTCTTGAATTTTTGTTTTTCTCAAGGCTAGCAATTGACCACTAGTACCACAGCTATATCTCTGGCTTGGTGTTGGTTAATTGGAGATAAGAGTCTCATGGGCTTTCCTGCCTAGGCTGGCTTCAATCCATGATCCTCAGATCTCAACCTCCATAATAGTGGGGATTACAAGTGTGAGCCACTGGTTCCTGGATTGTGCTTACCTTTTTTATGTTTTGATGGTACTGGGGTTTGAACTTAGGACCTCATGCTCGCTTGCTAGGTGGGTGCTCTGCCGTTGGAGTCATACCCCCAGCCCTTTATGGCTTTAATTATTTTTCAGATAGTCTTGCACTTTGTGGGGGGGGGGGAAGTGTTTGATGTTTTGGGCCTGGACTGGCTTGGACTGTGATCCTCTTGTGTATGCTTCACAAGACGTCACTACCATTCCCAACTTGGTGATTGAGATGGAGGTCTTGCTAACTTTTTGAACAAGTTGCCCTTGAACAGTGACCTATCCAATCTCCATCTCCTGGGTAGATGTTCCTAGATGATGACTCTGCAGTCCGATGGTGGGGGTTCAAAACCCCCTTCCTCTTCACCTAACTGTGGCGGTGTGATTTGATGTTGCTGAGACTCAGTTTGCCTGCAGGCAAGTGGAAAACCTATCCAGGTCCCTCTCCTACGGATGCCTGGGGGTTGTGCTGTGCAGGTTGGGTGCGGAGATCTTGGCACAGAGCCTGGAAGCGGCTGGATGAATGACTGTCACTTTGATAATGCTTCAGGCCCATGCGGGTCCCCAGCCTCTCCTGAGACGCTCCATGCACCCCATCAGCGGTGCCGGAGCCCCTCACAAAACAGGACAGACTTCCAAGCTGTTTTAGCCGCAGGTGTTTGCCTACGCCCCCACCCCCATATAACCAAGCTGCTGAAATTACCTCACTGGAAAGAAGAATAAAAATTAACACAAAAGCCCGCAATTAGCTCAGGCTTCCGGGGAATCGATCAGTGCCTCAGATCCGGTAACAGAGGCACACCGAGCCACAGAACATCGGTCATGCATGCCGGATCCTCCAGGAACTGGCCCACAGGAGTGCCCGGCTGGCTGTGTGCAGGCTGGCCCGCCTCCGCTCCAGATTCTCAGGGACAGGAAGAACCCGAGCCCGATTAATGGCCTCACTGTCCCTCATTCCCCCACGGAATCATTACACACGGTATCTATTTCATTAAACAGATCCAGAACAATTCACCTTGTGTAATCATATAACATAAAATTTTGCTTTGGACTTCCTCCAGGGAGGTCATAAAACTAATGTGATAGAACCGTGTGTGTGTGTGTGTGTGTGTGTGTGTGTGTGTGTGGAGGGGGGGGAGCTTCAACTCAGCTCTCATTGGGAAGGGCCAAGGGCAAGAGAGGATGACTTTGGTTTTGCCCAACTATTAAGAGGTATCCTTCTTGTGAGGGTGAAGAAGTTTACCCTTGCCAGGCATGGTGGTGCATGCCTATAATCCCAGCTCTCAGGAGGCTGAGTCAAGCCCCTCTGCAGGCTTACAGTCCCTTCTTATGGGGAGGGTGGATCTCAGCTCAGGGAGGATGAGCAGCTTTTCTAGAAAGTGAGAGGCTGGGCCTCCCTCTTTATCCTGTACCTGCGCCATGTCGGGGACTGATGCTGGTGGGTGTGGTGACAGCCCCGCCGGCCCCCTGCATCCCCCCTCCAGCCACCCCTTTGCAGAAGCCCCGCCCACCCAAAGCCCTGCCCCGCAAGCCCCGCCTCCCACGCCCAAGCCACGCCCACTAAGCCTACCTTTGCCCTTCCAGTGCGCGTGCGCGGCGAAGCCAATGTGGCCGCCGTACTTGCGGTTGAACTCGGCCATGAGCGCCTTGTAGGGGTTGCGGATGAGCAGGATGGCCGCGTCGAAGGCCTCGATCTCCTTCTGGCCGCTCTCGTGCGTCTTGATACAGATGGTCCGCCCGCTCCGCCAGTGGTCCCGCTCACCTTTGAACCCTGCCCGGGACCCCAGGGCAGAGGTTAGGGGTGCGGGGGGGGGGGGCGGGGGAGGCGGGGGAGGGGGCGGGGGGGGGGCGGGAGGCCCCTGACCCTCCGCGATGCCCCGGGAGTGCTGGGGAGCTGGGTTATCCACTCTCCCCGGGAGTGCTGGGGAGCTGGGTTATCCACTCTCCCCGGGAGTGCTGGGGAGCTCGGTTACCCACTCTCCCCGGGAGTGCTGGGGAGCTGGGTTACCCACTCTCCCCGGGAGTGCTGGGGAGCTGGGTTACCCACTCTCCCCGGGAGTGCTGGGGAGCTGGGTTACCCACTCTCCCCGGGAGTGCTGGGGAGCTGGGTTACCCACTCTCCCCGGGAGTGCTGGGGAGCTGGGTTACCCACTCTCCCCGGGAGTGCTGGGGAGCTGGGTTACCCACTCTCCCCGGGAGTGCTGGGGAGCTGGGTTACCCACTCTCCCCGGGAGTGCTGGGGAGCTGGGTTACCCACTCTCCCCGGGAGTGCTGGGGAGCTGGGTTACCCACTCTCCCCGGGAGTGCTGGGGAGCTGGGTTACCCACTCTCCCCGGGAGTGCTGGGGAGCTCGGTTACCCACTCTCCCCGGGAGTGCTGGGGAGCTGGGTTACCCACTCTCCCCGGGAGTGCTGGGGAGCTCGGTTACCCACTCTCCCCGGGAGTGCTGGGGAGCTGGGTTACCCACTCTCCCCGGGAGTGCTGGGGAGCTGGGTTATCCACTCTCCCCGGGAGTGCTGGGGAGCTGGGTTACCCACTCTCCCCGGGAGTGCTGGGGAGCTGGGTTATCCACTCTCCCCGGGAGTGCTGGGGAGCTCGGTTATCCACTCTCCCCGGGAGTGTTCGGGAGCTCGGTTATCCACTCTCCCCGGGAGTGCTGGGGAGCTCGGTTATTCTCTCTCTCCGGGAGTGCTGGGGAGCTCGGTTATCCACTCTCCCCGGGAGTGCTCGGGAGCTCGGTTATTCTTTCTCTCCGGGAGTGCTGGGGAGCTTGGTTATCCATTCGTGCATCACCAAGTACCTGCTAGATGCAGGGCACACGCCCTGGTGGAGGCCTGGGGTCGTGGGGCGGGGTGGGGGATGGGGGGGGACTGGCCTGCGTGCAACCGACGCTGGGCGCATGCTGGTGCTGGTGAAATCGCCAGGTACCCCGAGCCGATGCAGCCCAGGGGCCAAAACAGGAGATGCAGGCAATGGTCGTCAGGTATAAAAGCAAGCAAGGTAGGAAGCACAGCATAGGACTCAGACCCTGGCTCTAGCAGGAGCTGGGGGGGGGGGGGGGCGGGGGTATTCCAGCGGGCCGTCGCTCAGCCCAGCCTGGCCCTCTGTCCCTTACCTTTATTGTATAAGGAGCCGTCGAAGTAGTAGCTGCCGGTGTAGAAGCCGGTGGCCAGCTCGATGAGGTGGCGGGCCCACGTGTTGCCCGCACCCGGGAAGCTGGCCAGAGCGATGAGCTGCTTGGATTTGGCGGGCAGGAATCTTCTGTCCATGCACCGGTTGTCTGGGAAGCATGGGGGGGGGGGACATGCCGGGGTCAGCCACACACAGGCAGGAGGGACCAGATCAGGGTCCTCCAGCTGTGAAAATGGCAGTGGGAGAGTTATTTCCTTTCTCTCCCTCCCTCCCAGGATCGAGTGAGATTCGGATGAGGCAGGAGCACTGTGCTGCTGAGTTTCAGTAAAAGTCAGGGAGGAGCAGGAATGAGTGTTCTCCCCAGCCTCGGTTTCCCCCCAGCAGAGCAACGCTTTCCCACTCACCCCCCACCCTTCCCCAACTTCTACCCCAGAAGGCCAAGGCCAGCGCGGAGGTAGAGTTGATCCAGTCCCTGAAGAGCGTGTTTATTTGGTTCTAACGCCACCTAAGTCTAACCGGACTGAACTGGTGGTCGCCTCCCCTGGCGTCCACCTTGGAGGTAACCCACTTCTGCCCATTGAGCCTCAGTTTCCCATTTATACAACGTAGCCAAGGCACCAACCAGGATTCACTAAGCAAGATAATGAATGTGAAGCATTTGCAACATCTGCGGAGAAGCTGTGCTTGATACCATGCACCTGTGGCTCACGCCTGCCATCCTGGCCACTCAGGAGGCCGAGATCTGAGGATCGCAGTTTGAAGCCAGCCCTGGCAGAAAAGCCCTGGTGAGACTCTTATCGCCAATGAACTACTCAAAAATTGGAAGTGATGCTGTGGCTCAAGTGGTAGAGCGCTTGCCTTGAGCACAAAGAGGCTGAGGGACAGTGTCCAGGCCCTGAGTTCCAGCCCCACGACCAGGAGAAAAAAGAAGTTCAGTCTTGAGAACCTCCCCAATTGCCTGGGTTTGAATCTCACCTCTGCCCTCTCCTAGCTGTGTGATGCTGGCAGAGCCACTCTACCTCGTGGTGTAGAAAGAAAGGAAGAAGGACAGGAGGGAAAGATGAGACTCAGGGAGAGAGGGATGAAAGTGATAGGTACATTTACACCGTTCTCAAACCGGGACTTTTGAAGTCGACAACCTACAGCTTCATTGTACAGATGGAGAAACTGAGGCCCGGAGGCGGGGTGGAGGGGGCATCCCCTCCGGGCCGGGCCCGGTCTGGGGGGAGCGCTGAGGCACGCTGGCGGCCGTGGCTGACCTTGGACCTGGGTCTGGTACACGATGAAGTAGCTGGGCGTCCCGCAGCTCTCAAACTCCTCGGCGCCGCACCGCTGCGCACACAGCTGCTCATCCTCTCTCTCGTGCAGGGGGAACCGCGTGGTGGGAAACCCACAGTGGCAGGCGGTGCCCGCCAGAGCCGCCAGGGGAAACTCCTGAGGGCGCAGGGAGGGAAGGAGTCAGCCCCGGCCCGCACGCTGCGGCTCTGAGCCTCGATCCTCAGACCTCAGCCTCCCGAGTAGCTGGGATTCCAGGCGTGACCGCACACGGTATTCCCCTGGCACAGACGCTAAGTGAGCCAGAGGATCAGGGGCTGGAGCAGCCCTCGACCTGGCCGTGGGGTACCCCGGAGCCCCTGGACACGTCCTCCTTATGGGAGGAGACAGGCTCTTGCCCACTCAAGCCTGGTGCCCAGCAGCCCGTCGTTCAGCCTTGGCAGTGACGTCTGCCTACGTAGCTCCGCCCCCCACCGTCCACTACAGCCCAGGCCCTCAGCCGTCCATCCCCACCCAGCCTCTCTGCCCATGCCGCCTTCCCTCCACCCCAGGGCGGTGAGGGGACCCCCCCCAACCCCCCAGGCGCACCTTCTCCGTGCAGAGATCCACGCACTTGTCCACCGACATGTTGGACATGGCCACAGTCACAGGTAAAGCCAGGGAGAGGTTGTCAGGCCTGCGGAAACAGCCCCGGAACACCGCACTGCCGTCTGAAGCCAGAGGGAAAAGGACCGTGAGATGCAGGAGACGGATGAGCCAGAAGCTCAGAGAAGGCAAGGGATTTGCCCACGGTCGCACAGCGAGCCAAAGCAAAGCAGATGCAGAAAGAGCAGATCATTTCATTCTTCAACAAGGACCCCGGGCCACGCCAGCCCCTTTCCTTTGGTGGTATCTGTGTCGACCAGGGAAAGACCCATCGATTCTAAGCACCTGAGGACGGGAGGGAGCAAAGGGCCCAGTCCCTCAACTGTAAAGGGCCCCGCTGCCCCTCCCATCCTGGGCCTGGGGACTCTCTCCCTGCCTAGCACCTAACCTGCAGTTTGCACAGGATGCTGTGGGAGGGCTCTCTTTAAGACAATTCAATCTGCAAACCCCCAGCTGCACAGTAGCAGCAAGCACAGGAAGTTCAGAGGCCACTGCTGTCTCTTCAGTGGATTCCTGCCCCCTCCCCCAGCACTGGGGATGGAACCCAGGACCTTTGCACATGCTGGGCCAGGGCTCTACCACGGATCCACACTCCCAGCCCTTAGGGAGAGCCTGAGTCAAGTGTTTGTGCGGAAAGCCAGCTCTGGGAGTGGAGAAAGATGGGAAGGGGATGGGACAGGGGAGGGGGCCTCTGCCGGGGCCTCAGGGAGCTGTGTGTGTGTGTGTGTGCACGCGCACGTGCATCTGTGTACACACGCATGTGGGAAACGGGATGGTGGAGTTGTCTTTCCTTAAGGAGCGGCCGGAATCCCAGCCATGCAGGAAGTGTAGATGGAGGGTGAAGGTCAACCGGAACAGGAGCCACGAAACCATGTATTACAAATATTAACAGAAGCAAACAGGACGAGGGGCTGTCTACTCAGATGGTAGAGGGCAGACTGGGAGGCCCTGGGTTCAAGTCTCAGTACTGCACAAACAAAACCAACCTAAGAAAATAGTCGCCCTGCTGCACACACCACAAAGCTCCTGCGGAGCATAGTTGCAGTCTGACTCAGTTTCCCCTTCTCCCCGCGCCTGAGCTTGGGTGGAAAACCCTGTCACACAAGACGAAGGATGCTGCCGACATCAGGGGCGTGACCTAGACGCCATCCACCAAATCCCTGCTGCCGCGCGCCCCAGAGACGCCAGCCCACTTCACTTTCCAGAGAAGCCCTGCTGGGCGCAGACCCCGGCTCAGGAACTACAGACGTCAGGGGCTTCTAGCCAGCGGGGGTCTGGCGTGCCGGTAGAGTGGGCTTGGGGCTCAGCACCTGTGCACTTATGTGCCCAGGAAGCCCTAGGGGATGGCCCCCCTTAGCAGAACCCGGGGGCGGGGGGCTGTGAATAATACTTTTAATTTGTTTTTGTTGGACATGGGTCTTGAACTCAGGATCTGAGCCCTGGACTCTTTTGCTCAAGGCTAGTGCGCTACCACTTGAGCCACAGCACCACTCCTCATATTCTGGTGGTTCAGTGGAGATCAGAGTCTCACGGACTTTCCTGCCCAGGCTGGTTTTGAACCATGGTTCTCAGATCTCAGCTGCTTGAGTAGCTAGGATGACAGGCTTAAGCCACTGGCACCTAGCTATGAATGAAACTTCTTTTTTTTTTTTGGTCCGGTCGTAGGGCCTGAACTCTGGGCCTGGGTGCTGTCCCTCAGCTCTTCAGCTCAAGGCTAGCGCTCTACCACTTGAGCCACAGCGCCACTTCCGGCTTTTTTCTTTCTGCTTATGTGGTGCTGAGGAATCGAACCCAGGGCCTTGAGCATGCAAGGCAAGCGCTCTACCACTGAGCCACCTTCCCAGCCCCCTGAATGAAACTTTTAAATGTCAGTCTTCACAGCAAATCTACCAGCCCTTCCTTCCTTCTTTCTTTCCTTCCTTCCTTCCTTCCTTCCTTCCTTTCTTCCCTCTTTCTTTTGTTTTTCCTTTTTTTCTCTGTGCAGGTCCTGGGGCTTGAACTCAGGGCCTGGGCACACTGCCTGTGAGCTTTTTCACTCAAGGCTAGTGCTCTACCACATTGAGCCACAGCATCACTTCTGGTTTTCTAGTGGTTAACTGGAGACAAGAGGCTCACAGGCTTTCCTGCCCGGGCTGGCTTCGAACTGCGCTCCTCAGATGTCAGCCTCCCGAGTTGCTGGGATTGCAGGTGTGAGCCCGGCACTCTGCTTTCTCCACTGTTCCTCAGGAACAGTGCCAGCCATGCGAGTTTCCCAGAAGCCCCCTCGGGCCATCGGTGGGAGCAGGAGGCTTGCAGAAGCGGCACACACATCAGCTCTTCCTTGGGGACAGCGGTGACCTGAGCAGCTCGAGCCTTTCACTAGCAGGAGGCAAGCTGCGCATGCATTCATGGACTGTCTTGGCCGGAGATAGATGAAAAACAGTCTGGAAGTAGCTGCCAAGGTCTCCGGAGTCCCATCAGGCCTTTGTTCTGCTGCTTCACACACGCACACAAACCCCGAGGTAGGAGTCAGCAGGCTTCAGCTTGGAGGCAGGCGGGGAAGAGTCCTTCTCAGTTTGAAAGCCACCACCTGCCCCTGGGGTAATTAGGACAAGTTTGACTGCATTAAAGATGCTGGGAAGGGCCTGGAGGCGAGCTGGGAGCCGACTGTGGCCACGGAGCCCCCCCCCCTCCCGCAGTCAGGGCCTGGATTACACAAAGGCCCTCACCATCTGAGAAGCACTCAGGCTGGCTAATTTTAGACATCACCTAAGGCTCCCTCAGACTGTTGGAGGTTCCACAGCATGTAGCTTCTCAGAGAATCCCTGTAGGACAGGCAGGGTGGGAGAATTGTCCCCATGTTTCAGTTGAGGCTTGGAGAGAACCAAGCATGTGGCCACAGTGACACAGCCAGAAAAGGGGTGCATAAAGCAAGGCCTGCCTGACCTCAGCCCCCACCCACTCGGGCAAAGGCTTTTTACCGTCCCCCTTCTAGGACACAGAGGAAAACAGTCCTTCTGTCATCCCACCGGTCCCACACAGAAGGAAGAGCCCATGAAGTTCTGTATGAAATAATAAAATTCAGAGTCCTGGCGCGGCAGTGCACACATGTCATCCCAGGTACGGAGAAACTGGAGAGATGGGAAGGCAGCAGTTTGAAGACAGGATAAAAATGTATGGAGACCACCCGCCCCATCTCAATAAACAAATCGGGCATGGTGACACCTGCCTGCCATCCCATTTGTGTGGAAGGAGGTAGTAAGGCCACATCCTCAAGTAAAAAATTTAAGACCTTATTCTCTTAAAAAAAAAAAAAAAAGAGCTGGGTGCTGGTGGCTCACACCTGTCATCCTAGCTACTCAGGAGGCTGAGATCTGAGGATCCTGGTTCAAAGCCAGCCCAGGCAGGAAAGTCCGTGAGACTCTAATCTCCATTAACCATTCAGAAAACCAGAAGTGGTACTGTGACTGAAGTGGTAGAGCAAAAGCAGCTCAGGGACAGCGCCCAGGCCCAGAGTTTAAGCCCCATGACCACCACCACCACCACCACCACCAAAGAACTAGGAGATGTTGTAGGATCTGGGACCTCCCTGGGTGTTCCGGGGCCCCTCTCAGAGGCTGGCATGAACCGTCAGCGAGCCTAAATCACAAATACTGAACAAAATTCTCCAAGCTCTGAAGACAAAAAAATGACCCAAACTAGCCATGGGGCTCTACGCCCATCACCTCCATTTGGAAGCTCAAGTTGGGATCTTTTTTTCCTAGCGTAGATTTCATGATGCCTCCATCAAGGCAGGGCAATGAACTAGTGTCACTGAAGAGGAAACTGAGGAGAAGCTGGTTGGCAGTCATGCTCTGTGGGTGGCCAGAGGAGGATTCGAGCTCAGTGTAGCTCTGTGTGTGTGTGCGCGCGCGTGCGTGCTGGTACTTGAACTCAGTGCTTCACATTCTCACTTGGCTTTCTCTTTTGCTCAAGCCTGGCACTCTACCACCTGAGCCACAGGATCACCAGCTTTTTGCTGGTTCACTGGACATAAGAGCCTCATTGACTTTTCCTGCCCTGGCTTATCTTCAAACCTCGATCCTCCAGATCTCAGCCTCCTGGGCACTGGGAAGTACAGGTGTGAGCCACTAAGTCCTAACAGATCAGCACAGCCCTAATGAGCCTCGACACCCAAATCTTGCCAGAACCTTTGATCGCCAGCAGGACTCTCTGCCTGCCCCCCTCCCCCTGCTCTGGGAGTCGGATATATTTAATAAAATCCAACCAAGAAGAAAGCCCACTTTTTGGTTCTTGTTCACCAAGATCCAGGAGTCCCCAGACATGGAGGTGATGTCAAGGCAGAGCAGCAGCTACCTGTGTGCAAACATTCCCTCTGCCAGCCTCTTAATGCCCTCACCCCTGTTGGGACCTTCCGTGGCCTCAGGGATCTGTGGGCCAGCTCCACACCCGGGGTCAATGTCCCGCAAGGCCGTGCTTGGGAGACAAGGAGCCTCCTTTGGGTGTTTGCCATCAGACCGAGTTCCATACAGGCGCTCAGGGAAATAGCATTAGCAGACAGCGCTCCTTCCACTAATGACTGTACAAATGGAACCGTTTGCACCACACTGGCTTCCTGGAGGGCTCTGTCTTTGGCTCTGCTTGCTGTACCACATGCTAGGGCCTTATGCCACCAGCCCGGAGGGTACGCTTGTTCTGATTTATTTATGTCTGAGACAGATCCCAGGCCCAGGAAGCCAAGGGCATCAGAGTCATCGCAGCGAAGATCTCAGAGAGTTCAGATTGCTGACAGTCAGCAGCCAAGGTGGGCGGGGTCAGGGGGTCAAAGGCGGGAGGAGCTGCAACCCCCTCCCCCCAGTGCTGTAGTGTGTGAACAATCCAAACTGGGAGCCAGAGAACTGGCTTCAAATCCCTGCTCTGTTCTTAAGATGCGTCAAGGCCTCGAGGGGGGAAAATCATGTAGCCAAGCCCAGGGCCAGTGACTCTAATCAATCCTAGCTACTCGGGAGATCTGAGGATTGTAGTTCAAAGCCAGCCTGGGCAGGAAAATCCATCAGATTCTTATCTCCAATAAGAATACTCAGAAAAAGCTGGAAGTGGAGCTGTTGCTCAAGTGGTAGAGCACTAGCCTTGAACACAGAGAGGCTCAGAGACAGTGCCCAGTCCCTGAGTTCAAGCCCCGTGACTGACACAAATAATAACTAAGTAAATTCTGCAGCTAATTATTTCCCGAAATTCCCCCCAGATACTCTGTCTCCAGCAACCTGGAGTTGCCTAGATTTTGACCCAATTCCTTGGCCACTCATCTCAAGACTGGGTACTACTCTTCCCTACTCAGCTCGCCACCTGTCAAGGCTTTCATGGTGAAATCACCCTCCTCTTCCTCCTGGGTGCCTCCCCCAGGGGTGTCCAGCCCAGCCACGTCTGTTCCCTGTGCCGTGTGAAACAGAGCCGTGGACCCGGGAGGTTTATAGGGACTTGACCCACGACTCACGGCTGGATCACGTGGCTTTCTGCGTCTCCTGAAATCACCTTGCAGTGAGGTTCAGTTCCAGCATTGCTCCCGTGGGGCCCATGGGAACTGTTTTGTCCCCTGGTCAGCCCCCTTTCCCCCCAGGCCTCGTTCATGCTGGAGCCCACCGAGCACCATGGGTCAGTGGAAGGTCCAAGTCCTCTTTCCACATGCCACGTTGCCATGTTTTCCAGGTGTGCTTAGTACCAACCTCCAGTCTTCCCATCTGCGCTGCCTCCACTCTCATCCCAGCCAAAATAACTATGGAATTGCCCTTTAAAGTCTCCAGAGGGCATGTGCCCAGGCCTGGAGCCTTATACAGTTCAGAACAACTGCGGTGGGCATGCAGAACCTCAGTCTCCACCTGCCGGAGGAAGGACCACAGTGTCCTCATGGATGCCAGGGGACGATGCTTTTCTCGGATACTACAGTGTCTCTCCCACAGTGCTGCTTCTCACACATCGGCGGGCATTCTGAGGGGCACAGCAGCCCCCCTGCCAACCTCAGTGGACTGCTCCCCTGCCACCAACTGGCCCAGCAGCCTTCCAGCCACCCACAGAGACATGCACAGAGCACTTTCATGGCAGAGCCCAGTGATCTGTGTGTGTGTGTGTGTGTGTGTGTGTGTGTGTGTATGAGAGAGAGAGAGAAAAGAGAGAGAGAGCTTAAGAGAATGTCCAGATTCTCCAGAACACTAACCACAGGGAAATCTGGCCAATGTCTGGCTCACAACACACCCTGCAAAAATCTCGTTATCTGCCTCTGCCACATCCAGAGCCCTGCTCAGTGGCGACAGCTTCCTCTCAGACGCCCCCAGTACTTCGAGGTCCTCCCTCCAGATGCGCAGAGGGGCCCCATCGAACCACCTAAATATAGGCACAAGGGGAGCTGGTTTTGAAGAGGATGAAGGTACCATCAAGTTGAAAACCCATCATACTGACAGACAGACAGAAGCCCACTTGGTGGATCTGCTCCAGCCTGGATTTCACTACCTCTGCCCTCCTCCAGCCAGGCCTAAACCCAGGTGGCCAGGGGAATCTAGCTGGAGAAAACAATGTCTTGGCAAGCTGGTAATACTCGCAATTGTATCGACCACAAAGTATGCATGTGGCTTCAAAAACACAGGCTCTGAAACACTGGATACATCATCAAGCAATGAATTATTCTGGCAGTACTGGGATTTGAGCTCAAGGCCTTTACCACGTAAACCATGCCCCAAGCCCCTTTTGCTTTAGTCTGTTTTCCAAATAGTTTCTTGAACTTTCATCCTGGCTGCCATGGAGTCCACTTCCTGAGTAGCTGGATTACAGGCTTGCACCCGGATGCCTGTCTTTGAATCTTCTATAAACAATGAAATTTGCATAGAAGAGACCTTTCTTGACCCATAGACCAGCGTTCACTTTCTGCCAAACCTATTCTGTGTGGGTAGAATTATGTTCTAGAAGGAATCCATGGGGTCTAGCTTTATTATTTCAAGTGTGCTTCAAGGACCTGCAGTCTGCCCTTACCTGAGGGCACCGCAGAAATACAGCTCAGAGGGATGGATAGAGCCAGTCCACATGGTAACCGGCCTCCTGGGGGGAGGGTCTCAGGCACACCGTAGCTGGGGAAGCCTGAGGTTGGGTATGGGTCTCTGTTCTTGCCCAGGGACCGACAGCAGCCTCCAGAGAGCTCTGCCTCCACTAAGCCTCCCGCTTCTTAGCAGTCTGAAGGTCACCTGGAACTAGCCTGTGACCTGTAGCAGGTTGGCTTGAATTCATTAAGTCTCATGCAAATGGAGATAATTGCCAGTGGCAACTACCTGCCTGGCTCCAGAGAAAGCACACAAAATCAGCCTCCCAGCGCCTGGCGTCAGGGCCTGTCACGCCATAGTGACGAACTGTTCCTAGACACTACCTCCCACAGGAAGGGGACCATGGCAGGACCACACCCACAGGAGAGGGGCTGGCCCTGACCTCTCCATCTGCCTCCTCCTCGGAATGAGGGCATGAGGGAGAGTTAGGCCTTAGGGATAAAACATGGTGGACTGAACACGCAGCAGACACGTGGCCCAGCATGGTGCTTCTTCCCATAGTGCTCTAGGTTCTCATTCACATGCTGCTTCTTCCCATCATGCCCTGGGTTCCCCTAATAACCCTGGATGACCCACTCAGGTGCTGCTGCTTCCCATCATGCCCTGGGGTACCCACTCAACCAATGGAAAGTCAGCCAGTACAAAGCCCAGGGAGGGACTATGGGAGGTGGGGCGCTGCACACCGCGTAGCGAGGCAGAGCCGTGGAGGGCACGGGGCGGACACGGGGGGGGGGGGGCGCTGCAGATGCAAGCAGCGGAGGAGCGGGGCCGACTCACGTACACCTGCGGGCCGACTCCCGGGCCAGCTGCAGCCGGTAGACGGACAGGCGGTTGGCGCCACCGCACACGCTGCCCGGCTCGCCCTTGCAACCCATGTCGCACTCCGCCTCGCTCACGTTTGCCGCCTGGATCTTGTGGCCGCAGTAGCACTCGGCGCCGAACTCCAGCCCAGCATACAGGTAGCCCCTGGGGGAGGCGGCTGTCAGGCAGGGAGGCGGGCGCCACGCGGGGGGCCGGGGAGGGGGGCAGACCCGGGACACCCACCCAACGTGGAGGCCAGACCCACAGGGGCCTCCAGGAGATAGGAGAGGCCGGAGCAGGGCCATGGGACACACAGGGACAGGGAGGGAAGAGGAGACCCCCGGGGGGCAGGGAGGCCAGTGAGTCAGATGTGTTGCACAGACAGACACGTGTGTTGCCACACAGACACACCCATCCTCACTCACTGTCACCTGACACTACTCCACCACACACCTGTTTACCTATCTCTCTCTCTCCTGTTGCTTTTTCACACACACACACACACACACACACACACACCCTCTTGCTCCTCGGTGCTGCGTCTGGGAGACAGTCACCTCTGCAGAGCCCACCCCTCCTTTCCATGCATCAACCCCGTGAGGTCTCTGCATCCCCCAGAGCAGCGGGGGGTGAGGGAAGGAGGCAGGGAGTCTCATGAGCTCTTTGCAAGACGGCAACGCCGCGCCCACATCCCTGCCATGTGAACAAATTCCTTCTCCTAAAAAACGATGAGCTGCTGCAGGCCCCGCGCGGGGCTCAACGACTCCTTCCCTGGCGCTGGAATCCTTTCCTAAAAAGGCCATTCAGCGCTCGGCCCATCGGCAACCAGTGACGTGGGCGGGCACCAGGCTGGGGCTCGGAAAAGACATCGTCTGCTCCCTCACCCCAGGTGACCCCCAGAGCTGGCATGGCCCCGCAGAGGAGCCCCTGCCGAACAGTCCCATGGGGGAGGCACCCACAGGACTGTAACCACTTCTCCAGGGGTCCCACGATGCTGGCTAGACAGACATTCCCAGCCTGACTCACCTCCCCACACCCCAGGGGCATGGCCTTGCCCCAGGCACCTTTAGCAGGACCCACTTTTTCCAAAGCAAGAACAGCCCGGCCACTATCCCTGGGAGGAGGGAATCAGCGGGGAGGGATGGGTGGAAGGGAGGGGTGGGAAGAGGAGAGCATTCCATCACAAGCCGCTCTGAGCCAGGGGAAGAGCAAGGACATCAGGAAAGCTGCTAGCCAGGAGACTGCATTTCTAAAATGCTTCCCCCGGGATTCCCCGTCCCTCCTTGCGAAGGCAGAGACCTCCTAGCTGGGCACCTAGCTCATGCACAAATCTGGATGTCTGCACACACATTCACACACTCCTGCACACAAGGCCCCCGTTCCTTGCAGACCCTAGCGTATCTGTGTGAGGTCACACATACACCACCAGCTCACTCCTGGCATGGTCCCAGGCCACCGCCCAACACAATCTCCAGAAGCTGGACAGTCCTGCTCATTCACACACACGTGCACGCGCACGCGCACGCACATCCTCCTCTCCTTACATTCCGGCCCTCACCCGCCCGCACTCCCTCCCCACGGCTGCGGTGAGGGGTGCCCGAGGGGATAGGTGGCCTGTCGGGGGTCCTACCGTTCTGCACAGTTGTCCTGGCAACGGAAGACGGTCATCTTCTTGTAGTCGAAAAAGGACACACCTCGCAGGGCCCGGCTCTGGGTGTCATCCAGGTAGCAGCCCATGTACTTGGCTTTGGGAAGAGGAAACATGTCAGCTGTCACTGGAGACAAAGACGTTAGGGGAGGAAGGTGCCAGGTACCCCCCGGCTCTGTGGTCTGTTGAGCTGCAGCACCGACACATGCACCTTGGGATACAAGGTTGATGCTTCTGCACCCAGCTGGGCCGGTCTCCGTCTCAGTGGCTGTCACCTTTAGCGATGACAGACAGGTGAGCTACCGAGAGGCCTTGTCTTCCTGAAGTGGCCATGAAAATGCCGGACCAGTGATCTGTGTAAATGCTCCGACCACAGCATCCTGTATATACCAGGCCGGAAACACAGCTAAGTAGAAACCAGCCATTCACAGTGCTGTTTTAAGTATGGCACGGTGCTGTTTAAAGTACTTCACCGTGTGTCATCAACGTGATGATTTCCACCCAAAGCACAATTTCAGGTTGAGACCACAACCTCTCAGCAATAAGCCACAGATTTAGTTTCTCCAAGCCGTGAATGTTTTCTTGGCCCTCATGGGAAATGTGATACCTTATAACAGTACTCCATAGTTCTATAAAGTCTCTTCTTATTCCAAAAAAATTATGAGGATGTAGAAAGATATGTGTTTTTTTTGGGGGGGGGGTGCTGGTACCAAGGTTTGAACTTCGGGCCTCTCACTTGGCTCAGCTTGCTTACTCACAGCTGGTGCTCTACCACATGAACCATGCCTACAGTCCAGCTTTTTGCTGGTTAAATTGGAGATAGAGTCTCTTCTTGGACATTTCTGCCCAGGCTGGTTCTGAACTTTGATCCTCCAGGTCTCAGCCTCTCGAGTAGCTAGGATTACAGGAGAGAACTACCCGAGAAGATGCCATATGAGCTCTGTGTAATCTAATAGAATGGGACTCTGCCTCTCTGTGCTCGGGTTTTCGTGTATGTGACGAGGTGGGGTTGAGCCAGCTCCCTGTCTGGACTGCTCTCAGACTATGGTAAGCTAAAGTGCACAGTACTCAGAGCTGTGCCTGCCCCATACGGGCCACACAACTCATCTGTCTTGTGTAATCGTCACTCCTGTGGCCTGCAGAGTATGTGTTGTCTACAAGGGGAAACTGAGGCCCTGAGAGCCACAGGGATCGGTCCAGGACTGCACAGCCAGCAGAACACAGAGCTGAGATTTGAAGTTTGCGCTGACTGCCCGGGGCGCACTCTGAGTGAGGTCAAGGCAAGGCACCAGCACATTAAACACACAGAGATCCAGACCTGCTGCCCAGAGCGGCGAGCCTGAGGACCTGAGTGCAGCTCCTCCCCTCCCTGCTCCCAGCCCAGGACAGACGCTGACTTTTCTACATCATCATCCTGGACGGCCCTGGACAGCTGTGGAGCAAGCCAGACATAGTTAGCACCAGGTCAGGGGCAAGTCTTGCCTTTATTACTGCTAATACATTGTGTTTGTCATGGATGGGCTGCATTTGTGCGTTCTCAGGAACACTGCCGGATCCCAGGGCTGCTGCTAAAAGCCTCGAGGGCTGGGACTGCTCTTCGGGGCGCCCATTTCCTCTCTCTTTGCACTGTATAGAATGTAAAAGCTTGCTGGGCTGCAGGGGGCCGCGGGGAGAGGGCAACTAGCACGGCATACCCAGCGATCACAGGTCTTTCAAATGTCACAATTCAATAGTCCCTGCGTTGTGTCTGTTTCTCCCAACGGTTATCCGTGTACTCCGGGTAAGTGCTTTCTCTCGGAGTCTCAGTTTTACCCTCTGTGAAATGGGACAAGGAAGGCCTTGCCTTTACGGAGTCACGGTCACTAGATGCGACAGCAAGTCTCTGATAGCAGGGACGACGCCATAAGCACTGCCCAATATTGATCAGCTACTGCTGCTAGCCGCAGCAATGGCTACGTGCTGTGAACCAGACGTGGTAAGTATTTTACACGTATCATTTCGCTCTAAAATATGAAAATCAGCCCGATGCCTGTAAACCCGAGCTACTCAGGAGGCCTGAGGGCGAAGGATCACAGTTCAAAGGCAGCCCAGGCGGAAACGTCTGTGAGACTCTTATCTCCAATGAGCCAGCAAAAAAAAAGCCAGAAGTGGAGGGAGGTGTGGCTCATGCGGTAGAGCGCTAACCTTGAGAACAAAAAAAAAAGGCCAAGGGACAGCACTCAGGCACTGACTTTAAGCCTCAGGATCAGCACACACACACACACACACACACACACACACACACACACACACACACACACACGCACGTGCACCCACGTAATTCTTATTAGCAGCAGGTGGAGGTCTACAGTGGCCCTCCATTGTCTGGGGGGTGGGGGGGGTTGGTTAAAGGATAGCCTGCAAATACACAACTGGGAAGATGCTCAAGTGCTCTCTGTGATGGTGCTGGGCGATCACCCCAGAGGACACCCCCGGGCCATATAAGGACCCTGTACACAGCAGTTGCATTGTCTTGCAAGCTCAGCATAGAGACCATTTTCCCCCCCGAATCTTCTCTACTTGTGTTGGGTTGAACTTCAGGGTGTGGAACCCTCCGGGCAGAAGGCCAAAGCAGGCCATTGCTGCTGCCGCCGCCTGAGAAACTGCGTTCTCCACGGGATCTAGAAGAGCACAGGCAATCTCTTGTGTGAGTCCAAGGGCCAAGGCCAGGAGCACTGAGGAGTGCTTGCTCAGAGCTGGGGAGGGGAGGGTCGTGCCGTGGGGGTGGGCAAGGCTGGCCCTGGGAGGCCGGTCCTCCCCACAGACGGGATGTCCTTCACTCATTCACGCCCCATCCACTCAGCCATGGGTGCCAGGCGCCATCTTTGTGCCAGAGCTGTCCTTGGTGCTGAAGAAACATGGCCGAACCTACTGAAGCTGCAGCGTAGCAGGACACACGCACACACACACGCACACACACACACACGCATGATGCGTTCAGATGGTGACAAATCCTGCACAGAAAAGAAATCTGGGGAAACGGGGCTGTGACCAAGGAAGAGGTGGGCTGAGTTGGGCCACCCAGGGAAGCGTCTGTGGGAAGAAGAGGGGATCCACGCAAGGACGTGAGGAGGAGAGCAACACCTGTGGTGTCAGACATCCGGAGGCAGGAGCCGGCTGAGCATGGACCACGGGGTGAAGTGGGCCGGCGGGTGTGCGCATGCGCACGCACCACACCCGGGAGGCCAGGAGCATGGCTGTGGGACAGAAGTCGGGTCCGTCCCCAACATAACAAGGAGCGTATGTGAAGGCCCAGAGTTGTGAGCACTTTGGAGCTTTTGAACGCGTAGCTCGAGCTTGGCGTGGCCAGGGGGGAGCTGGACAGCGAGTGAAGGTAGACACCATCCTTCTCCCCTCCCCCCCCGGCACTGCCCCTCCCTCCTTCCCTGTACCACCTGCAGGATGGGCTCTCCCCGCAGGCAGCCCCCAGCCCCTTGACAGCTTCACCCCACCCCCCCCTCTGCCCTGGGCAGGGCCCAGGCCCTGGTGCTCTACTGACCAGGCTGCCCCGGCCTCTCAGGACCGCCTGGGTGGGAAGCCCATCATTAGCTCCATCTTACAGATTTCAAAACTGAGGCAGGAGAAGAAGAAGCCATTGGCCTGGTCCTCATGGTTGGCTGGGGGCAGACATGGAATAGTAACCCACGTCCTTAATCTCCTCTGTCCCTCACCCCGCCTTCCATGGACCCTGAGTTCTTGGAGGCAGAAGGCTAGGAGGCTCTTGATGGGGTCTTCTAGATGGTTCCCAGGTCCACAGGTGTGGGGAGGGCATGTGCTCCCTGGGATGGATTCCTTCTCAGGTCTGACAGGCATGGCAGAGAGGCCATGGCAGGCAGAGAGGCCTTTTCCCTGTCTCCCAACCCATCCTGCCCGGGATTCTAGAAATTTCCATCCATGATCCAGTCATGGATTACAGGGAACCCTGGCTTCTTCCCCAGCAGGCTGGTCAGCTGGACAGGTGCCCAGGATCTGAGTTAAACTACCTATCCCTGCAGGCCTTGATGTCCACATCTGTGAACCGGGCACAGGATCCTGCGTGTCTTGTCCAAGCCTGTGAAACTTAGTGACAGCCCTTCTTGATCATAAGAGGCTGAGAACAATCCATGGCCTAGGCCCACACCTGTGCTGTCTCCCGTAGGACCTTCACTGAAAGCTCTCCTCACAAAACCTGGGGCTCGGGGAACCCTCTGTTTCCCCAGCAACTCAGGAGCAAAGAACGGTGGCCAACTCAAGCCCTGCAGAGATGCTCGCAGCACGACCCCGCGCAGCCAGGGCCGGGCATGCGGGCTGTCACGTGAGTTAGGAAAAAAACAAAAAAAGGCTGCAGAGGATATGGGATCAAGCTTGGGACCGCATCATAGGCCTGGAGTTCAGATCCCAAGGTTCTGTGTGACAAGCCGTGTGGCCTCTCTGGACTTGACTTGTCTCCTCAGCGGGGCGCTATGCAGGCAGCGGTCTCTGCAGCACAGCTGGCTCCTGTTCGGCGCTGCGTGGGGCACAGCTGCCACCGCCCTGAGTTCCCCCTCCACCCGGCTCTTACCTCGCTCTTCCTCCTTCTCCCGGACCGCTCTTCCCTTGAGGGCCCGGCTCCAGGCGCCGCCGTAGTCGCCCAGCTTGGCTCTCTCGTTGGCGTCCTTGCTCTTGAACGGGGGTCCGTACCTGCGGGCGATGCTCGAAGCGTCGCCCACATCCCGAAAACCTCTGGCCAGATGCAAGTCCCCCAAGAAGGGCAGTTCGGCAGCGCCCTCCCCCGGGCCCCCCGCCGCGGGGCTGGGCTGGCTCTGTGAGACTGCGGCAGGCTGGCCCCCGAAACCAGAGTGCAGGAAAACGAGGCTCCCGGCTGTCAGGTAGAGAGCCAGGAAGGTGAAGAAGCGCACGGGTTTCCGGCGGAAGTACCGCTGGAATTTGAACCAGAGCTTGGCCATAGCAGGGTCATTCCGGAATGGCAGGTAGGCTGGCGAGACAGAGGGGTTTCCCAAACTGCCCTTCCAGATGGAACCCCTGCAAGGTTTGGAGTCTGAATTCCTCTACAGAGGAAGAAGACAGGTCCAGGGCTGGGCTGAGGACAGAGCTCACCAGCCTCTCAGGTTGAGCTGAAATTCAGGGGGGTCGGGGGTGGGGCGCTGGGAGAGGAAGCACAAAGCTAGTAGGTCCATTTCCCTTACATCTTGTTCTTGGCCTCTGAGTTCCCAGAGAACCCTGAAGTTTGCAATTGGTAAAGAGTTCCGGGGTCTCCCTCCAGGCAGCCACAAAGTCACTCTAAACCCTTTCCCAGCTCCTCAGGCCTGTGAGATTCGTTCTCAGAGGGCCCCGATGCTTGTCTCTTCTACAGTTGGGGAGCAAGCTTGGAGTACCTGTCTTCTGGGGCCAGACTCTGGAGAAGCTCTGTCCAGCTGAGCATCAGGCTCCCTGCAACACAGAGATGTGCGGAGGTGAGGAGTCCTATCTGAAGCACCAGATCTAAAGGGGTCCTGAGCAATTTGTCCTTTTTTTTTGCTGGGGGGGGGGTGGTGGAGGTGAGGCCCAGAAAGGAGAGGAGACTATCCATGGCACAAAACCTCTAGGTAGCCCCACTGGACAAAAGTCCAAACTGGAGTCCTTCAGACATCTGCCTTTTCATTTCCAGCAAAACAAAATTAGGGGACCTGAGTTGCACTGGGCTCTAGTTTTTTTTGGGGGGGAGGTGTCTCCTGGGTTGAGAAATGGATCCCAAGTCCTCAGATGCTCAAGGCCCCGATACACAACAGCACGTGTTTGGGACACTGTGTGTCACACCCACACATAGCTCCTACAGCATCTAGTAGTATGTAAATGCTATGATTTAGGGACTCACAGAAAGAGAAAAAAAAAATCGGTGTATATTCAGTACAGATGCAATTTTCCCCTCTCCTGAGTATTTCCTCTTCGTAGTGGGTTGAACCTGCAGATATAAAACCTGCGGATTGTATCACCCTTCCCCAACACTCATCCAACCCAGTGATTTTGGGAGGGTTCCTTAAGTCCGGAACGTATTTCCAAGTCAGGTTGAAAACCCAATCCGTTTCCCCCTAAGCCGTGTAGATCCCAAATCTGTTCAAATTCATCCATTCCTTTCCCCAGCAAAAATTTCATAAAATCTTCCACTCACTTGATGCCGTCCCAGGCACTGGCAATACAGCAAACCAGACCCCAACCCCTGGCTTCCCGGAAATGAACCCCACAGGTCCTCCTCACTTCTATGCGAGGGGGAGGGGAGGAGCCAATCAATGGAAAGGAAAGGGAGCAGGGTTTCTTAGCAACACCTTCACTCTCATCCAGTGTTTCCCGATCTCCCGCTATCTGCCTCGTGTTGTGCTGAGTATTATCTACCCGAACTGTTCCCCTGCTTGGCGGATGAGGAAATGGAAGTCACACCGGAAGTCACACCGCTGGGGAGTGGGCGGCGACCACAGACCCTGGGCGATGCCTTTTATACTCGCCCACTTCCCTCTGGGTCTTAGACAAGTCTGAGGAACATCAGATTGGGATGGCCCAGGGGCTGCCTTCGTCACCCAGCATCTCTGGTGAGGGGAAACCTGCTTCAAGGCATTGAACGAAGATTAGAAAATGGCCTAGCTCCATGGGGGCAGTGCCTGTTTCCTACTCCTACCAGCAGGGGGTGCCATGGCCATCTTCAGCCAATAGGAGAGTTGTGTTGTGACAGCCCCTCCCAGCAGCATGGGGGGTTAATTGTAGTTCAGGGTACAGTCTGCCATCCACTCATTCAGGAACTCTGTACCGAGCACCTACTACGCACCAGTCACCTACCAGGAACTTGAAAGACGTGAGTGAACAAAACAGACACAAATCCAAGCCCTTGTGGAATCAAACATCCATCCATCCATCCATCCATCCATCCATCCATCCAGCCATCCAGCCAGCCAGCCAGCCAGCCAGCCAGCCAGTCATCCAGACGGCCTGTCTGTCCTTCATCCTTCAGTCTGCCTGTCCATCCATTCATGAAGCCATCCGCCATCCACCCATCCCTCAATCCCCTACCCATCTACTCATAAGCCAAGTCATCCATCTACCCATCTACCCATCCATCAGCCTACCTGTCCAACCATTCAGGAAGCCATCCACCCATCTGCCATCCATCCACCCCTTAGTCCACTGCCCATCTATTCATCTGTCCATCCATCCACCCATCCATCCATCCATCCATCCATCCATAATACATAATACATACAACATACATCTGAACTGTACTAAATTCATCAATCTAACCAACTCTTCACCCATTTGTTTCCCCATGAACTTAAAAACATGTGCTGGCTGTCTACTGGTGTGTGTGCTAGGAATGCAGGAACAAATAATCAAATCTCTGCTTTCAGGGAATTCAGAGTCAATCAAGGGAGAAAGCAATGCAAACAGTAACTACACCAGACAACAAGAAACCCGTAGTAGATGTGCACACACACACACACACACACACACACACACACACACAGAGGATATGGAATGGAAAGGAATATGAATAATGTCTATATAGCACTTAACATACCCCTGACACCATTCCTTCCACACACATCCATATTGAGACTTAATTCTCATGACAGTTCTACAGTGGAGGCCTGTCCCCTTTTCAGAGTTGAAGAATGAAGGTTAAATAACAAGTTGAGAGTTGCAGCTCATCCATGGCAGGTGTGTTGCCAGTCTAGGATCAGATGCCTGTAAAGCCTAGAAGCCAAGCCATGCACCTGTCCTGGCCTTGTATCCCTTTTGCAAGTGTGGCGACTACAAACACACCCACAGTAACTTCCCAGCCTGTGGTTTAAAGGGTCAGGAGGCCCGGGACTCTGGTATGTGAGTTCTGAGGGTTGGTAGCCCAGGCAGCGAGGGTCTGCAACTGCCTGGGGGGATTACAGAGGGGACTGCCCGGGGGTGGGGTCCTTGGATTGGCTAGAGCAAGAGGTCTGAGTGAAAGAACCGCAGAGAAACAGGCCAGGAAGTGAGAGCAGCACACTGGGCCGGCACCAGGCCCTGGGGCGGCCTGGCTCATCGACCTTGGCCATCCTGGACCGTGTTCCAGTGGCACGCACGGGACCCCATGACGTTCCCTTTGGGGAGACATTCTCTGCAGAACACGCATCAGCCAGATGTTTCTACGGCCCAACCAGGATGAGAAGACACCGACGGCCTCCGTGAGGTGAAGGGATCCAGTTACAAGCAGTGTAGGGAGAGTGTTTGGGGTTCAGACAGAGCTCTGGGGGAGCCCTGCTCCCCACCCCTCTCCCAGGCCCCCATGAGCAGCCTTCAAGGTGACTTTTTGCTCTCCTTTCTTTCCACTGCAAGCCCACACCTCTGTCCTCCAGGGGGCGCTAGTGGGTCCGAAAAGGGGCGGGGAGAACACGGCTCAATCGCAGGTGGCAGTGGGAGGGTGAGGGCGGGAAGCGGCCAGTGAAGGGGGGACAGGCGGGAGGCCACTGGTCACCCCTACATTCAGAGGACCCGGTTTGTGCCACCCACACCACCCTGCAAGACAAAGGGGGCATCTCGGAATCGGAGCCCTGGCAGGCCGGACAGCGTGCACATGGCCGAGGCTTTGTCCCCAGCACCCATCACACAGTAGGACCCCAAGAAGCCTCTGGGAGGGGAGCAGTGAATGGAGAGAGCAGCCGGGTCCCCACCCCTGACCCCAGGGCCTACACAGCAAACCACGGCCTCCCTCCGTGCCGGACACCAGCACGCCCGGTGACCGCTGTGGTGAGCTGCAGATTCGGAGATCTGTGATCCCCCGCGTTGGTCAGTGCTGGGTGCTTCTGGAACCCTCAGCGGTCCCACGCAGGACAGCTCACCGTCCTCAAAGAAACCCCCAAAGATATTCCATTTCCATATCTCGCTGCCTCTGAGCTCCGCCGTGCCCGGGGCTGGCTGTGGAGGCTGCTCCTCCTCTCTGCAGCCGTGAGGCTGAGGGCACCCGCCACTGGTGGGCATGGCAGCGCTGGGTGTTTGCAGTCTGTATTCTGGGTGTTTGCAGTTTGCAGGAGCCTTCAACTGGCTAACCACAGCCTATTTTTAGCACCAGCGTCAACCTCATGGGTTAAGCTGCCAAGGAAAAGCCAGGCTGGGTAGAGCCTCCTGCAGGAAGGGAAATGAGAGGCACAAGGCTCCGGCGCCACCCCCCCCCCCCCCCCGCATGGAAAGGGGCAGCGTCCTGAGGCTGGGACAGCGGCCTTTCCCGTCCTGGGCCTTTCCCCTCCAGCCCCAGCCCCAAGTGGAGGGCGCAGGCCCAGGGGTCAGCTGACCCCGCTCTGATCTCCCAAGCTGGGCCAAATAGAAGATGCTGAGGGTTTGATGTCAGACTGTTGGGAAGGACGGCCATCTGTGGAGTCTCCAGGAAACTGCAGAGGCGCAAGCTCAGGAAATAAACTGGAGGCCAGGCACCGTGCTAAGCTCTGCCTCGCCGGGGCCTTTTGAGGGAGTCATTGACCTCTCTGTACCTCACTTTCCCTTCTAGACTGGGGAAATAATAGTTGATGAGCTAAATGAGTTCAATATACCCAAGTGTATCATATTACGAGGAGAAGACGAGGTGTTGCCTGCCCAGCACCCCTTCCTCTTTCTGGTTTAAGGAGTCCATAGCTAAGCACCAGTGGTTCACATCTGTAATCCTAGCTCCTCAGGAGGCTGAGATGTGAGGATCTACAATTGAGGCCACTTTGGGTAAGAAAACAAACCCATGAGACTCTTATTTCCAGTTAACCAGAAAAAAAGCCAGAAGGGTATGACTCAAGCAGCAGAGCAGCAGTCTTGACTGAAAAAGCTAAGGGACAGCTCCCTGGGCCCTGGGTTCAAGCCCCAGTACTGGCACACACAGGTTAAATGAGGGGAGCCCCTTTCCCTCCTGGGCTCGCGTGGAGCTGGTGGGATGGGTGCCCCTCTCCAGCTGCCCCACGCATATCCGTCTTCTGGGACCCACAGACGCCAGTTTGTGGGCCACGTGGAAGACT